GAAGAAGACATATATATATATATATATATATATATATATATATATATATATATATATATATATATATATATATATATATATATATATATATATATATAATCTCCATCGGCTAACAATCATCAGATTATTAATTAAGACAGACTCATTAAAATTATAGTAATACTAAAAAAGTTTTAGATTTAAATTTTTTTAAACTCAAACTAGCTAACTATAGATGGATTATTCGGATTTTTCTGAATAGACATTAACCAAAAAATAAGGATACATGTGATGTTAATGTTTGGAGGGTTATTAGTGATATATAAAAATTGATAAGGGTAAATACGCCATATACATGTAGATACTAAAAACTCTAGTCTTAAAAACTCGTTTTATTTAAAGATTACACCGATACCAAATCTTCACTTTTTGACTCCAACAATATTAATATAGAACAGATATAAGTTTGTCCACGGTGTCACTGCTACATCATGATTCAGTACTTCAAAATCTTATAACCTGTTTGTCCTCGATATCCGTCTTTAACAATGAAATGTTTATGATGAATGTATATCAACATTCTCACATGAAAACATAATACGATACATCAATGTTATCTGAAGGACCACAAGTTAGACCAAAACATGTACTACAGCATTACATAATAAATCAACACGGACATATGTTTATCTTCAATTGTTTTGAAAAGTTTATTAATTCTGTTTGTAGCGATTCAAACAATTATCACAATTATACAGTCTCTCTGAAATCTATAATAAAAAACAACAAATTCAGACAAGAAAGACTTCAGTTTTTCACCTCCCATGTCTTCAACCATCAACTCCACTCGAGATCGTATGGCAAAATAGCCACAGGGATGTTGATACTCAAGGATGACACCCTTGCTCAAATAAATAATAAAGTATGTAGTCCCTGCAATGAAGTCACTAGAAGTCATCAATCGCGCTCCGTTGTGGACATGCTCGGGTTATTGGAGGCTTGGCATGTGGTCCTTCTAACAAGCTTCTTGCAATTGTCTCGTAAGCTGCCTCGGTTAGGTGAATACCATCCCAGGAGATGGAACTAGATGGATCACTGCAGACCGTTGCATCTTTGTGACCGCACTGAACAAATCGATTGACGCCATATGGGCCATCGCTTCCACAGCATGCGTGCAGTGGAGCTTTAAAGCCTGCACTCACAAAGATCTCAGTGAAGATTCCATCAAACTTAATACACACAGATAAACATTGATTCTAATGAACTTTTTCCCACAGGGTGGGTGCAAGTGCACTTCATTGAGGTTCTGTCATATCCCAATTGGATCCATATCTGGATCAATCCTAATTTTCCACCTAATTCTGATAGACATCCAATTTGACCAATGTGTAACAGACATCCCTTACTACTACATTGCCTTCGTTTGGAACAGTTATGCCTCAAATCCAACCACAAGAAATTTGTGTGAGAACATAACTCTTCAACTATAAGTTTGGTCACAAGTTCTCTACTAATAGCAACTCATTTTTTATATTCAACTATAAAAAACAGAACAAAACTCGTATATTGCCACTGAAAACACAACTAGAAAGATTAATTCAAGAAAATACTCTTGGCAGGGTTTGTTAGTTTTTCCATGACTGCAGAGAGATTTGAGGGGGTGACTGAAAATGAAATTGCATCCTGTTAGTCCTGGAACTTCAGGGGTGGATTTGAGTTGTAGTTACCAAGTAAATGAAATATGTTTTCTAATCCAAGTCAGCTCAAAATGGCCTAGGTTTAAATTTGAGTAAGTGATTTTCAAGTAAGAATATGAAGCCATATGTATCAAACATTTAAAGATTAAATGGATCAAGCAGTAAAAATTTTGATGCAGCTTAACATACAGAGGAAATCCATCCAGAATACCATGATCAAAAGGTCTCAAAAATATGATTCGGAAATAACATCCAAATTATAAGAAATTCTATAGAAGCCACAAGCATCCAATTCGTGCTTTGCAAACTTTGATTTGTTCTAGTTCTAGTATGTAAATAAATCGCGAATATGGTCCAAGTAATAAAAGCCCAAGTTTCTTTGGGGTCCCAATTCCAATAAGATCCCCATGCCTCATTAGCCCATACAGCTCCACAAAGAATGCCTATGGTTATAAAAGGTAAACCTAAACTAAGGACACAATTAACTCCAATAATCCAAAAATGGCCATGCGCTCACAAAAGAACTCCGAACATCAAATCTTGCAGACCGATACTAACCTATGGGAGTTATCAAGCATGTAGTTTCTTGATTAATTCCAAATAAGTATTTGCTGAAGTCAGGAGCGTATACATAAATCTAAGATTCAGGTATTTTCAGCTTTTAGGTCCAGCTACCTGCCCCATGGACAGTTGGAGTCTATTGAGATCTCAATAGAAAGTCATGCAGATTTTTCTGTTTCTGAAGCTGTAATATTATGAAACAATGGGTTCTTACATTGGATTGGCATACTTTACAATTTCCTTGTGAAATTTGAATAATTGACTGATTATTCCAGTAAACTAATGGTGATAATTAAAAAATGAATCGCCCCTATCATTCAAGTTCTTCAGCTGAACTCCGGTTACAGATTCTAGCACCCAAGTTAACTACAATCAGGGCAAAGGTAAGTAACTCAGTTAAATGATCATATTTCTTCTACCTTTAATAGATGAAGATACATAACTACCTTCTAAGGTTAGGAAAATGAGTTTAAATCAAATGTTTTTATTTTGCCTGATAAAACTACAATAAGATGCAACTCAAATTGGAACTGCACCAATTGAGAGCACTACAAAATCATTTGAGTTTATTACCTTAAAAGTAAAGAATGCTTTTAAGGGAAAGTAATGGTTATTATAATTGAAATTGTATAAAGATAGTGTCATAAAACACGATTTAAAAAGTTCAAGTTTAAGATGGAGGATAAATAGTTGGTATCGTAACTGTTATAGCTAATCAAGATGACATAAGCATAGTGTAAACTTGAAAGCCTGTAGGAGAAAGAATCACATGTTCATCAATAAAAAGTTCCAAAATGTAAAATTTTTCAAGAATTTCAACATAATGCCACACATCCTATCTCAAGAACCAGCCTCAGCAAAAGGTTCATATAACAGCTAATTGGTAAAGCCAAATAAAGTGGTTTTAAGCCTCATGTAAAGCCTTTTAAAGCCCATATTTGAGCCCAAAAAAAAAATCGATACAAGATAGAATGCACTTGGAGCTTTTCTGAAGGCATAATTGACATACATATTTATGCAGATCTACATTCTAGTGTAATGTCAGAATAAGTGGAAATAGTTGCCTGATTCCTGCAATTACATGTATCATGTGGTTTTCATCCAATTTTTTATGCTGACATTTGAGAACCAAATATTATTTTGAACCTCTTACTGTAGTAACATACAACTACCACAGTATGCAAATTCAGTGTTCCAGTCATGCTAGAACTCTATATAAGGAACAATAGTTCAAACCAGGAGTGCTCTAGGATTAGCAATATTTTTCTTTTCTTTTGAAGGAAGGATTAGTACATTTTTGACAGAGAAAAAACATACCAAAGAGTTGTGGAGCACGGAAAAAGCTTATGGTGGCATCATAGTAGTTTGCATAAATGATAGTGACATGTGGGTGAAGCTTCCGAAGCCTATCCAACTCATCCTGGAGTAGGCGATTATGGTACTCAGAGAACTCATTCAACCACTTGATGCAGCCTGTTTGCGAGTCATAATCCTCAACATTCTTGCTCTGAAAGACATCTAAATATGCTGGAATACATCCAATTGGAAAGTTCCCGGGAACCAACAATGTCTTTACCCCAAGTTCTATTAAATCCTAGCCAAAAGAAAGGATTATATGAATCTAGAGTTCCAGTTGGCAATGCTTGAGAAGAAGCACCACATTATGCCCAAAATGTATACTAAATTTCCAAAAGGTCAGTGGCAGAACCCTCACATTGATTGCTGAACTGATTGCACCAATGACGCTAGGAACGAAGGTTCTTACTTCATCTGCATTTATTCCTTGGAAGAATGGATGGTTGTAGTCATTTCCACCAATCTCTCCCATCAGGATCAATGAACTGTTCAACACCTCTTTGGTATCTGCCATTCAATACAAAGACAAAACAATCAGAAAACATCACACCCAACAGTCAACACTGCTATTCAGCACGTACATGACTAACTGACTTCTAACAAGCAATTGGAAAAGGGATTTTTTTTCTTATAAGTTTGAACTCCTGATATAATCTTACGATTATCTTCATCCACATATTAGATCAATTAACTGTTCATAGTTGTTCTCCTTAGTAGTATTAATAGTTTTAACATAAGTAATCATCATTATTATCATTTTTTAAAACACTACACAGAATATTGGGAATTGAAGGCATATGCCTACCGGAGGAGAGCGAAGACAACAACTGCTTGAACGACTCGATCTGAACACGCAAGGACCTGTCGGTCCATGAAGCTTGAATCCCCTTAGAGCTAAAGAAGTCAAGATCGAGCGCGGTGGCCCCGCCGACTGCGAAATTCGCCCCTTGCCGGAAATCATCCCCGCTACCTCCGTCCAGATACGGCCGCACCAGCGGCAACCCCAACCCTTGCGCTGAGCCAGTAGAATCATCCGAAACATAACTCATCTCAAACACTAACATCGACGCTTCTCACCATAGAAACGAAAATTGGGTGGTAATAGTAGTAGTAGTGGAACAGACCGATGAAGTCGATGATGACGCGGCCGTCGGAGAAGCGACCGGTGGGGCGGTCAAAAAAGGTGCGGCCGTAGGGTGGGCTGCCGCTGGAGGCGCCCAGGCTACCGAGGCGGACGGCGTTGCCGGTGTCAGCAATGGAGTCGCCGAAGCTAAAGATGGCTGTGAAGCAGCCGGAGGCGGGGCGACGAGCGCCGGGGAGAACGGCGATGACGAGGAGGAGAGGGAGGAGGCGAGGAGGAGGCGCGATAGGGGCCATCGATAGGGTGAGACCACACACACACACACCGAAAGGATTAACGGAAGTACGACAGGTGGCGTAGTGGTCGCGTCAACAAAAATAATTGGTTGGCTCGCTGACAGTTGGCTTTTTTTAATTTTTCACGTGAAAATAAGGAATCCGCGTGAAGTTACCACTCCTTTTTTTTGAATTAAAAAAGGATATAAATTCACTTTTTATCTATTTATTTCCTTCTTTCTCTTTCGGTTCATTCTCATCCAACACAACCAATCCATTAGATCGGATTAAACTAAACTAACATCAATTCCTAGTTGACATACGGTTCATAAATTTGTGTTTGAGTTGCCTCAGCGCTAAAGGAAGCTGCAGAACCTGAAAGCAGGTTCCTACTCACCTCGATGGTCATCCTTTGATGTCGAGATAGACTCATGTAATCATATTATATTTGTAGCTCATTTATCTGGAAAGACAATTTTTATGGGATCCCTATCTATAATAATTTTCAGGATAAAGGATTTATAGTCCCTCGCTTTACCACTTGACTATGTCACTAAACCAAATTCGATCTAAATAAAATAAAAATAAATTTCTTAAGAGAAAAAAAAATAGATTTCTGGTCAAAAACTGAAAATTTTAAATTGAAGCTATAAACTATTTATTTTGTTGTCGGTTAAGTCTTGAATTAGAATTATAAACCGTCGATTCAAAAATAAATTTTTTTTATAAAACTAACATAACTAAATAAGATTAATATATTTATTAAATCTTAATAAATAAATAATATCATAAAATATAAAATAAAAAGTTAATCAGATTATTTATTATAAAAATAAATATTATTTATATATTTTCAAAAATAATAGAATTTCCAAATAAACCAATAAGTATTGAATATTAATTAAATCTATTGTTACATGTCAAATACTAAAATATTTTATCAAAAGTCCTTCTTACCCAAACTAATAAAACATTTTCTTATCAAAATAATTAAAGTAATATTTTAAGTTTTAAAAATTGAAAAATATCATATCTCGTTCTAGAACTAATTTTTAAGAGTTTTGATGGATTTATATGTTTTTTCACTTCAAATGACTTAAATTATATTAATTTTAAATGGGGACACACTGACTTTTGATCTCTTGTTCAAAAATTGTGAAACTTCATTTAAAAGTAGTATAATTCAACTTTCAAAAAATTCATTGAGATTCATTCTGATACTTTATACAATATATATAATAAATTTTAATATTCAAATCTATGGAATGAAGGATTAATTTAGTGAAGGAATACTTTGACTAGAATTGTATATTGTTGAATATCGTAGAATTGTATATTGTTGAATTATGATAAAATCGATTTGATATGTTAATGTATTTTTGAGATAGATAAAGTAGGAAATATTTTGATTATAGACTCGAATTACCGAAAAACTAAATGTATGTGAGTTATAAGTTATGTCGAAAGATCATCGTATAATGTCGAATTGATTGATTAGTTGATGTGCTTAAGAATATATTTCATGCTAGAGATTTATATTTCATACTAAAAGGATCAGATATCAAGATAAAATTAATATGTTAGAGGATTGAGTGATATTCCAAAAGATAGGATAATATACCAAACGTTCAAGGGAAGATTAAAAATCGAACGATATGTTAGAAGAGTGGACATTGCCAAGTGGTTGATGAATTAAGGTTTTAATTGACATAGTTTTAAGCTAATTTAAGTCAGGTTAAACAAAGCTCACTTGTCATGAAAACCGTTGGGGTTGAAGTTGGGTCAAATTTAAGTTATTAGAAGACTAAATACATGACATAAACTACCTATGTCAATAATAATACCACTAGTTATACAATCAAAATTAAGTTTATGATATTGTATCAAAAATTATCACAGTAGTACCATGGCTCCATGTCAAAAATTATAATGGTAATACTTTAAGAGTCTAGTATTACAGTTCTGTATAAAAAATTACGATGGAAGTATCGTAGGAGTCTATATTATAGCTTTTGTTTCAAAGATTACAATGGTAGTACCATCTAAAATCATTAGTACTACTCGTATCGTGAAATATCAAATATTTAAAATTTTACTCTATTTTAAAAAAATTTTGGGAGCTATAAATGCCTCACTCAATTGATGGATGATCTATTCTTGAGTTTATGAGGTGTTATCATTCTCTCTTTAAGCATTATTTGAGTCTTTTTTTTATTCTTGAATTTAGTTATAATATTAAATAGTAGGAGGTAAGAGGTCTCTTATAAAAGATTAAGTGTGAATATTCTCTCCTAAACTCATTGAAAAGAGAAACGACATAAAGAGTTATTGATCTTCACTCGTGGAAAGCAGGATTAGTAATGAAAGCTAATAACATCGAGAGAAGAGGAATAAAAAATGGATATAAGTTACGAAGATCAAATCACTATAAATCAATTTATATATCTTTTCCTAACTTTTGTTCGTGATTACTTACTTATTATCATCCAAAATATTTGTAAATCTTACTAACACTTAATATATAGTTGATCATATTTTTCATTTTTTATCGAATTTTAAAATTAATTAAAATATACTATAACACTAATTCATCCCCCACTATGTCATTAGTATCGTAGGTTGATCTGAACATGAATACAATTGAAACTAAGACAGGTAAAAAGATGAAATGAAATAAAAGAAAAAGGTTAGAATTATGAACCACACAAAACTTATTGTCCTAAGTGTATTCCCTAGCCCTGCGTGCAACTGCTCCATGCACGTACTAGAGAATCAATCGGACGATCAGCGCACGAGTGAAAAATCTGAAGCGAGAATGCGAAGAAAATAAGCTCAGCAATATGTGAGAAGTGCTGAGAGCATGAAATTTATAAATCTATGAGGGACTGTCACATTCACAACATGTGAGCGTGATGAGTTTGAAGATAAATTCTATATCTAAGTATACTAAGATGCTAACCGATGTGCTTTTTAATTAATCAATCAACTTATTATTATCATATTGTATCTACTAAAAGGAACTCCATAGAGGTTGGATTCTCATTGCTAAAAAGGTCATTCTAAGCTAAGATCCATCTTCTTGATGACACTAGGATCTTAGTCTTATTAAAACTTTTATTAAGATAGTTATATTATTATTAGTTTTAATTAAAAATAATAATAAAATAAAAATCTAACCATCTAACAGACTTTTTATCTAATCTTTATATATCTACTAATTTTGGCGTTTATAAAATTTTCTTTTACAATAGTCAATTGTAGCTCTGCAATCACAAAAGAAGGGTTAGAAATCATTGGATGATAGGAAATCAAATTTTTAAGCAATTTAGCTTCTTTCTTTAAAGAAAAGATCATCTATTAAGATTTAACAGTTCTACCTAAAGACTTGTGTAAGTCATTTTGGAGCAGTACATATAGATCAAGTGGAAAGAGATCCTCCCATATAATGTTACATCTATCAGATCTAACTTAGCAGCCCAATGCGTCGCTTGATTACATTCACGATAGCAATCTATTACAACAAATGAGGTAAGTTGCAAAAGTAGATGTTTAAGATCCACAATGTTGTGGTTTATAAGCCAAGGTGATTGTTTGTCTGATCATAATAGTTCCTAGAGTATTGTTGAGTCTGTTTCAATCTAAAGTTTGGTGAATCCTTTCTCCAGTGCAAATTGTAATCACTTCTGAGAAGTCCATGTCTCACAATGTAATGCAGATTTTTTATGTAGGTAGTGGATGCCTGCTGCACAACATAAATCATTGTGATCATGAATGATGAAACCAGCTCCTCCATCCTGCAATATAGAGGACCCATCAGTATTATGTTTATGCCAATTAAGCTTTAGAGTTTTGTACAGTATTTCTCCTTCAGATAGTGTTGTTCTAGCATGGTAGCAATGGCTTGAGCCAAAATTGATCTAATAGAAGGCTTTTTTACTATTAAAGAAAGCATTATTTTTGCATTTTCCATATGAACCACAGTTGGCTTGCAATAGCAGTCTGTGCAATTTTTTCCTTCCCTATTGTATTTCCTTCCTTTAACCAATCATTGAGGAACCAATGAGTTCTAAATTCAAAACTAATCTGTAAATTACGTACCACCAATCCCAAAGTTTGTTTGGAAAGGGGCAATCAAAGAATAGATGATCAATAGTTTCAGGATATGTTTGACATAGAGAGGACATGTTTTGAGCAGGTAAATAAAATTTAGTAAGTCTATCAGCAGTAGGTAGTCGTTTGTGAAGTAAATTTCCATAAAAAGAAAATGTATCCTAGGGATTGTAGGAAGGTTCCACATATATTTCCAACCATACCAATTATGTTCAACTTGTTTACCTCTCGAGTATAGTAAGTGATATGCACCTCTTGCAATTACTTTACCATAAGGATTAGCTTTCCAAATTCATGTGTCATCACAAGGATGTTGTACAATCTCTATAGTTTTAACAGCATCAACCAAGTTAGCAACTGGGTATTCCAGCTATATAAGTGTCTCAACTTTAGTATCTGAAGATATAATAGAAATATTACCCATTGTAGGTTTCTTGCTAAGCAGCATGTCAATAACCCAAGTCCTCAAAAATATATGTACTAAAACCATTGCCAATGTATTTACAGAAACCATATTTTAATGTATACAAAGATTGTATAAAAAGCTTCCAACTCTAGCTACTATGGTTAAATTTGGGAATGTTTTAGAGGTGGACAGTACCATATTTGGTATGCATAATATTAGACCAAAGACTTCTATTTTTATTTAAATATCTACTAATTCTGGAAGCTTGTAAGGTATACTTGAAACTTCTAATGTCACCACCATTATCTTTACTTGTAGTAATTGTGTCCCATTTATTTAAATGAAGCCTTATAGAGTGTAAGTTATGTTGCCATGGAAAGTTTTTAATTAAACTTTTTATTTTATTAATAATAAAATCTTGTATCCCAGTGACACTAAGAGTGTGAATAGGGATAGAGGTTAGCACTAATTTAGTTAAAACAATTATGCTAGCTTGTGACAGATGTTTTGTTTGTCATGGCTAGTTTAGCTTTAATCCTTTT